TTCATATAATTTAGTTTTTATAAATCAGATAAAATAATATTTTGCATCTCTTATGCAAATTTAGTTAATGATTGTCTCAAACATATCTTTGTTATCTTACAATATATTGAAAGACAAATTAATGAATAGGAAAAAGCATTTTAATTAATACCTGATAAGTAGTGTTGCGATGATATCGTATTAATCAATAAACGTATTTAAACACAAGTCAATACAACTTTCAAACACACAGTAATTAAGCACTTAATCAAAGTCTTATCACTAAACAAAATCCATTTGATAGAAGGCTACGAATATTTCACGTTTTAATAATCAAAATCGTTAAGTAAAACAACATCTTTAAGATTATTTCTCATGAACTTTCAAAATTGCACATAAAATCCATAACATATGTAGAATTGGCAGAAGAAGGCAAAGGCTTTCAGCACTGAATTTGTTTGTTTCCATTGAATCAGAATTTATTGCAATGAATGGACGGATTGAGCCCTTCGTTGCCATAAATTGATTTCTTTGTTTCAGAGTTTTGCTCGTTTTGTGAACAATATTTTCGGTAACAAATCCTTATTATAAGTATGAGAACGAGTACTGCAATCATTTGGGCGACTGGAAGGATGACCACAAGAATTACCGAAAAGGATCCGCTGTCGTCGTTGGGGTCACTCTTACGCGGACCGTGTAATCCTGCGCCGCCTTTTCATCAATATTTTTAAAATGCGTTAAAAATAATTACATATAAATTATAATTTGATTGCAATAATTGTTGAGCTATTTGTTGCATACCTTTAGTGGCGATCGCACCACCCCTTCCACCGGCACATAAAACATGTTTTATAAGATTTATTAAAATTAAATTTATAAAAACAGTTTTGTTTAAATCAAAATCTTTGATAAAAAGCATTTTTCTTGCGATTTATTCCATTCATAACGAGATTTACGAAATGAATAAAATATAAGACAAAGTTTTCAAATCTCTGTATTAAACCATTCTATGAAGATATTTGGCCAAAGAGTTCATAACTTTTAAGTGAACAACACATCAACTGAAGTACATTTAGGTCTGAGTTCTTCCACACGTTCTTTGCTATCATATCGATTGGCGTCAACTCTGTGTTACATTCTTCTCTCTCTCTCTCAACATTTACTTGAATATTTGTGTTGTACTGTTGGAGCAAAACATAAACTGGAATTCTAGTAAACAGTAAATGAATTATATTTACTAAGACTTAGGCACAGAATATCTCTTATCGGAACATCTTTTTTGCTTATATTTACAAATTAGTTATTTATTACTCAATACTCGACACTAAATGCTTATGTAATAAAGGCATGACTTTTGTGACAAAACACAGATTTAATACAAAATCGACAAATTATTGACTGACAAAAAAA